AATTTGTTATTGCCTGTTTCTCTTATTATCTATTTCAATTGTGTTTCAGGCTTAAAGCGATCAGTGTAATATTTTTATTTGTATTGCAATAAGTAGAAAATATGAAGAAACGGGGTAAGGAAAGGAATCTCTTCTCGATGTGGATAAGATCGTAATTTTTTTTTTAAGTACCAGACTCTTCAATGAGTGCAACTCCAATTAGTATCGCTAATAAGAGGTGATACGCTTAAATATCGCCTCGGTTGAAAAACATCCGCCACGCGTTATTTTTACGTGGCAACCTCGTTAAGCGTAAACGCGCGCGCGCGCGCGCACTCGTGTGCGATAAGCATTGTTATCGCGAATGTCGACAAGGACGAGGAGCCGCTCCGCTGAATTCTATTTTCCGTCGAAATAAGAGAGATTCTCCGATGGAAACTCGCTCGTCATTATCCTCGCGGTTAGCGAGAGCCAATTATCGCCCGTAACAACGACGGCGAGACGCACGCAATCTCCGCGGAATGACTCGTTAACGATTCTCGCGCGAATGACTTTCGTTAGAGGAGATTCGCGCGCACTGGGAGGATCGCAGGGACCAGTTAAGCCCGCAGGAATGTATCCCGAAAGTATCCCACGGGTAAGGAGTCGCCCCCCTTCCCCTCCCCTCCTCTCCCCCCGTTGCTGCAGGAGCTCGCGCGCGCGCGCCTTATAATATAATCCCGGTACGTGCACGAAATTCCCGTAGAAAATAACGTCTCATTTCATGTCGGGCGCCCCCAGCAGCTTTCGCGTAATAACATGCAATTTCACCCCGTATCCTCCCCGTATCCGATCGAACTCTCCCTCCCTCTCTTTCTCTCTCTCTCTCTCTCTTTCTTTCTTTCTCTTTCGATCGCAAAAGGCGCCCGAGTAAGTGTACCCAGGCGAAAAATATGTGGCCTAAGAGAATGTAAGTAGAAATTCATTCCACGAAATTGAATTCTCGTTTCACGAAAGAGTTCGACGTTGAAGTCGAAGCTCGACCGCGCCGATATACACAGTCGCGAACTCTTTGCCGCATTTTTATGGAACAAGATACAATTTTTCAAAGATTAGTTCTTACTTATTACATTTACATGTTATGGAGAGAGAATATTGTTTAAACATCGCGGCGGGAGAAAATTAATCGGCGCTGATAGAATCGGTGTCCTAGAATCTACCTTAAATTCCCGAAGCACACGGAGGAATCTGAGGCGGGCGGACGCGTTATTACCGAGATGCGGCGAGCTACCGCAGAGAAACGGAGGAATCACACTATGTCTGTGTCGGAGGTGAGAGGAGACTATACGGAGGGAACGAAACGCACAGCGACGAGGAGGAAGATTGATCGCGGTGAAGCTGCATCTGCTACGATGAACTAGACAGAGAGAAAGAGAAAGAGAGAGATAGAGAGGGGTGGGGAGAGGGGGGGAGAGAGAGAGAGAGATAGTGATAGAGAAACGACGGGAGAGAGCGACGGAGAGGCCCTTCGGGAGAGGCTCCGCCTTCAGCTGGCGTGTGCATTTGCGCAAGATGGCGCCCGCCGGTCGGTCGGTGTGTGCCGCGGTTGCACACATTTTGCACACCGGAGCAACGCGCGCGAACCAACGCCGCTGACCGGCCACCGTTCGTCGTACCGACTCCAACCCGAACAACACTCTTCTCCTTCGTCGTCGTCGTCGTCGTCGACGATGACGAGGGATCACAAGGATGGCGGGGCAAAGAGAGGAGCATGGCGAAGAAGGGACAAGACTTAACTTACAAAAGAGATAGAAAGCGAAAGAGAGATAGAGAGAGAGGATAGCCTCCCGCGTGGCCCCGCAATTACGTATGCACCTCTCTCAGACCCCGCGGGCTTTGCGGTTGGCTGCGCTTCCTTCCTGTCTATGCCGCAACCACTGTGTATTATGCATCCCGCTCTCCGTGCGCGCGCGTCCGCCTATCTTGTTTATTTATTTTTTTCCTCTTCTAGCATCACTTCTCGCTGTCCCATCTCTTCCTCTCCCTCCGCTCTCCTCACCGTTTGTTTTTTTTTTTTTTTTTTCTAGTTAAACGCTAGCTCCTTCGCCAGGGAAATATTCAGGCTCCGACGTCAAGCGCGCGTGAAAACGTCTCGCCAATGTAAGAATAGGTATACGATTCTCTGTTTTGTTTTAGCGAGAGTTATTAGAAGTTTGATGATTCTGGATTATGCGAAAGTCTGTGTATTTCCTGTATATATAATATTTGCTCGTAAATACCAGTTTTTATTTTTAAGAGAAACATTTATTAAAAAATTATAGTTATTTTACTGCTTTCTCAGATTATAAATTGCCACACAACACAGTGATTATAAGGTCGAACACTTTGAAGTACTGAAGGATGTTGATTGGCTGTCAACATTTTTCCGCTCTATTCATCAGCGGCTGTCAAAACTCGGGACACGCTCTGCGGGATGAGGCTCGAATTTTCCGACGTGGTCGCATCCGAAGCGCGACGCAAATCAAAGGCGGTACCGCGCGCCGTTCGCCGACGCACGGATGCTGCCGACAAGAGCAAGTCAGAAGTCGCAAGAAATTCCGCGCTTTTTCCGCGCCGTCTCGGCATACAATCGGACAGTAGATTTGATTCTGATTAGGACCGTTGTTTTTTGGGGGCCACGAGCTAACAGAGGGCCGAGTATGATCCATACACGTCGGCACGAATCAGGGATATCGCCTTCCACAGGGCCTCGAGATCTGGCCCGGCTGTATCGTGTTTCTTCCTCACGCACTTTTTGGCCTTTTGGCCTTCCCTCTCGTTCCTCTCATCCATGCCTCCGTCATCTGTCCTCCATCTTCTTCCTCTTATTTTGGGTTTTCCTCGACGCGTTGAAGAATGAAACGCCTGCGGCCTCGTCCTTCTTCGTCCTCTCTTTTTCTCCTCTTCCTCGTCTCCTCCTTTTCTCGTTCCTACATTCTTCCATCTTATACTCCAACATTTTTCTACCTACGCTATGCTTTTTCATGCTTGGCCAACGGCGAGGAACCGAAGGAGCTATCGAGATTACGTACATCTAGAATGTACACACTATCAGCCTAGCGCGCCTCTTCTCGAAAAGACTCTCTTTTTCTCTTGCGTGACGCCGTGAAATTTTTCCTCGCGTGGAATTTAAGAGCATAGAGTTAGAAACCGAGAGGAATGATCTGCGTGTGTGTATACTAGTTATTAACTAAACTATACATGGAGTAATAGAAAATTTTGCACACGCATTTAACGCCATATTCAAAGTAAAACTGAAAGTCCGGAATATTTGCACGTTGCGCTAAACAACAGAAATTAAAACTTGATTGAAATGATTAAATTCGTTTTCAAAGACAGATGATACTACAGCTTTTATCATCATTATTATTATAATTCATTAAACAATAATTATGTAAAATAAATGCCAAATAAAATGGTAGCAAAAAAAGCTTCTTTTCTTCATTCGCGAAATTGTTCATGCAATCGTTTTTGAGGCATTACATTCGCGATTTTCTCTCGTTCTAAACTCCATCTATTCCCTTTTTCATACTTAATTATATTTTTTATCTACTCCTCTGTGCGCGTAACTGTCAAGTGTGTTGCTTCTTTTACGTTATCCCCTAAGATGACTTCCTTTTTACGGACAACTAATCACACATTTCCTGCGTTTACGCTTCTCCTTTATGTATACACCGTCACCGGTAACCACGCTAATCGTCCTTGCTTCTTGCCCCGCGCGTCTCTGCTTCTCACTGTCATTCACGCTAGAGAAGTAGCAAGGGGTTGTGCTTGAAATGGAAAGTCATTTGCTTGGCGAGAATCGAGAGGACGTATAGGCCACGAGCGTGGACGGAGTTAAGTGTGCGGGACACGGGAGAAGACGGCGCGTGGGTATACAATAACACGCACTTGCGTGCTCGAAAGTGCAGGTTCGAGAGCGTCTCGAGGGCGCTTTGCCGCCTATGCCCATTCGGGGCTCGAGATGGATTAGCGCCGTGCGCTAAGAAACTGCCCCAATGGCATGTTACGGTTGTCACTCTGCTCGGGCCTCCCAACGGTACAATGTCACGTGCCTATCGGCCGCGGTAGAAATTTAATTATCGAGGCAGGTATCTAGCCGGAGGGGGAGGAGCAAAATGGCGATGCATCAGGGGAGACATTCGATGGCGCTGATAGCCTCGGAGACGCCTCGTTAATTAAATATAGAAATTCTAATTAATGAGTAGTGCTCGCAAAGAGGTGACTGTTCGACGGTCGTTGACCCAGCAACTGTATCGTGAAACACGCGAGAGGCAAACAGTAGCGGCTACTTTTGTCAGAGTTAGTGATGCTACAAAATGCTTTGAGGCATTCTTTCATCGGTCATTTGGTAAAATTCTTCTGATTGCAATCAAATGCTTCGAAACATTTGTGACTTTGACCACACCCAGATTCGCTAAACAGAATTCGCTTCTTTACGAGAATTAATGCTTCTAATATATTCGACGTTATATCGTCTTTTTTTTCGTAATATTTGAACTGACGTGTTCAAGAAGCGCGCTATCAGTGCTATTGTGTCATTCTGCCTTTATCGTTTATTAGAAACAGGAATAGAATGATGCTGCTGATAGACCGGGCTTCTCAAACACAGCCGTCAAACTATATATTGCCATAATCGGGAGCTTCCATTGTACACGCATCGGAATCGCTAAGATGGATTTCAATCGATAACGCTACAAAGTGGCTCGAAGATTATACGTATTATCCTCTTAATAGCCGCCGCACGGTATCCGCCGCTAAAAAAAAAAAAGAAGATAAGACCCTTTCTCGAGAGTCCTCGCTTCTTTTGATCTCAAAACCTCGCGAAATCTTCAAAGAAAATGTTAGCAAGCAGTCGGTCGTTGAACCGCGACGACAGTTTCTCAAGAAGGAGAAAAACAGAGAGAAAACCGAAAAGATCCAAGAAAGAGAGAGATAAGACGAAGGTATATAAACGATTAAAGATTCAGGAGAGAATAGTACGTGCATGAGTGTGTACTTACTGTGAGCGTAGTGGGCCGCAGCTGCGGGGTGATGCGCCGTCGGTCCGGTGTGAGGGTAGTAACCCCTGTAATCGTTGCCGACCACTCCGGCCACCCCGGCACCCCCCGAAGGCGGCTCCAACCTAGGCGTCTCGTACCACGTCCTGGCGCTCGACTCGCTGCTCATGTCCATCGTGTCCAACGAGATCTCGGTGCGTCGCGATCGCTCGCCGAAGAACGAGCAGGTGGAGAAATAACAACGGGAAGAGGAGGCGTGAGAAGGGGAAGGAGAGAGAGGGGTGGAGAGCGGAGCACAGTGAGAGAACGGGCGGCAGGTCGGAGAGGGAGATTAGGAATACTGCCAAAAGCGCCTCTCTTCCTTTTCCGTCGTCCTCGCGACGCCCAGTGGGATCATAGGTAATCTTGGTCTGATTTGCTGAGCGAAAGAAACCTCTTCCTGACCTCCGTCCTACAAAACAGAATCGAATAACGTGAGTTAGTTCAGTCGCCTCTCGCTCGATCGTTAATTTCGATCGATCGTTCTTTATTTCATAAAACATATGTCTGAGATAATCAATGAGAACTATGAATGCGGTACATTTAATCATCAACTACAATTCAAGTATGAAAACCTACAAGATTTAAAGCGCGATTCCTTGATTTGAAATATAGTAAATCTTGGCTTGTGGCGATTGATATATAGAGAAAGGTTCAAAATATTTTTACCTACAATTTAAAAGTTTATATTGTAGTACAAGATTATACACGATCGTTGAAAAATGTTCACTTCGAATCTAAATGATCCGTTGCTACATAGTTAAGGATTGAGAAGTCTGAACACGTAAATTGTAACAATTGGAAGCGTGTTGTTGTACGATACAACTACTGTGTAGCAGTGAATACTATCCGTAAGATGCACGAGACATATTATATGCAAACACGAAATGAAGTTAATTGGAGCGCTTATAGTCGAACGCGATCCACGCGATCCGCGCCGCATGGTGGGAAAATTCCGGCTTTATTAGCAATAAATAATTTCGCGATTTTACCCAGCCTTGTTAACTGGCTGCTAGTCACACGTGCGCCGTGTAGCATGATAATTAATGATAACATTCGCGCGCGGGAGCGCGGGTGATACGCGCGCGACCAGACTGACTTAATAAGACGCTGTCAAAAATCCGCAAATTATTACTATATTAATTAATCGATCTATATAACCCGATTTCACACCGAGAGGACAACGGCCGGCCGATATCTCGACACGTCATTTCAATAAAGCCGTCGCTCGGTGGCTTTCTCGGATTCTGGGCGCGATCGTGTAACCGCAATATACACGAATGTGGCTACGGGATAATGAACAACTTTGTAACGTGCACGACGACAAGCTACGCCCGTCCGTTCGCACAGCACCGCACCGGTTTACGTGCGCGTATCCTTACCGGCTTTCCGATATCGCTCTTGTCGCGTAAAAGGAAGAACGACGGCGTGTCATGAACCGGGCGGACACGCACGCAGTAAATTAATACCGAAACACGAGACGCTTCAATGATTCTTTCATCGCGTACAAGCTGCATAATGCGCCGCCTGTTTTAAGACGTTCTTTCCCCCTCTCTTTTTTCTTCCTCCTGTTTCTCGATCGCAAATCGGACGCGAAAACGAACAAGACGCGAGATGATTCGTGAACGATCGGAACGAACGACCGTCCTCCTGCTTCATCCGGTTCGAAAACTGAAGGCGATTGGAGATGGAAAAGAGGACTCCGACGTTTTTATTTCACCGTAAATTTATTCGATGCTCACAATATCTAAATATGAATAACTATATAGACGGGACAAGAATTGACACTCACGACCGTTTATATGTATAAAGCGACCAAATATTCAAAGCGATATATCATTTTTTAATTTAAGCAAAATGTCATATCTTCAGATATTAAAACTGAATGTAGATTTTCAGATCTATGAACGCGTTGTGTGTTGCAAGCCTTTCCGATCAAAGTGTTAGATTCTTGCTTACGTAAGGAGGGGAATTTTTGTAGAAATTCTTTCATTCGATATCGCAGGTTCGACAAAAGTGGAGGAAATTCACGAAAAACAGACTTACCGCGATCGTTGAATCGGTGCAACGCGTCGAATTCCGATAATCGATCGGCGAGATCTACGGTAATTGGTCCTGATCAGCGCTTCAATACGGACATACTGGAGTATCAACGATTGACGATCAAATACTCGAAATGATTTATCAATCGGCTTATAGGCGATCATCAAGGTCATCGATGACGTAACCGCGACAGGTCGGTTTAATCGCCCAATCCAGAGATAGAGGAGCGCGAGAGGAAAAGGGACAGTGAAAAGAACGCGGCGACGGCTCGCGAGGAGAAGCGATGTGGCCGGGATTCTTATCGAAAGACACGCGTTTTCGGAAATATTAGATAATTATCTTTGCTAGATCCACCAGAGAATTTTTATTGCCGCGAGAACTAAAAACACCCGCGTGCGCGTTCGCGGGGCTCCGGTGAAAAAATATCCTCGTAGAACCGGTTACGCCGGTTAACAGGTTTCATTTTCAGTCGAAGCCGCAAAATAGTGAATCTCTCGACGCGGAAAAAGAACAACGCGGTAGTAATAATTATGTTAGTTGTTTCGACAAACTCTCGGACATGACTATTATATTTCTTTCCTTCTTTTTTTTTGGCTTTGCACTAAAAAACATTCACTCTTGTCCGGAGCAAATAAAGCACTCGAAAACAATGCGCGATAAGATACACGAAAAACCGTGTACCTCGATAAGATTGATACCTCATGAAATGCGACACGCATATCCGATTAATTTTGGTTGCCAGGTCATCGAGGTTCTTACGTTATTATGATATACAATATAATATATTTTACAAATATATTTCGTGCGATAGATAATATTATCAGCTGCCAACAACTATTAGTACATGCATAATACGAACGCAACCCCATATTCCTATAATTAGTTTAGATACTTCTTATAAATATATATTCAGTAATTTAATATCAATCACAAGTAACCACGTAGTCCATTAATTAAATATGCCGAAAAGTATTGACATTTCAAATTGTCGCCCAATTTAAGCGGTTATCATCAAAAATGTCGGAAAGATAATCGCGAACTCGATCGATCATAGATATAACTAAATTTGAACAGATCAATCAAATCGTATCACTCGACACGATCGCAAGACGAACGAGCGATTACTTTTCAGAGATATCTCACGATCGGAATAATATTTTTTTGGCAATATAAATCACGCGGGCGCCGCACACTTTATTTTTATCGCATCCATATAGAGGTTGTTTAAATCATTAACATGCTCGAATATTTAACAATCGAGAATGTATGAATATTCACGGAGTTTCAAATAATTACTAAAGCGTGAAACTCGTTCTAAAAAGAATTTACTAATAGTAAAGAAACTCGTTTCGTCTTGTTGATTTCTTACAGTTTTCTTTTCTGCTTCCTAGCTCTCTTCCTTTCTGCGCTTTTCTGACAGGTATAACATTCTGAGATAAAAGTTTGTCTTTCCGAATCTCGTTATAATTGCCGAAAAAAGAGCGCGAAGAAAATCTTCTAATCTAATAAGAGCCACTCGACTTGAGATAATCGAAATCGGACTCTTGACCGATATGCACTTTCAATCACTCGTACATATCGTGAGTCGAGTTTTTCATCGATTTGACAATCGTGATAACACACAATTGAAAACCCCGGGCTAGATAACTTACACAAAAATATTATATGGACTTTAACCGCGAGCGAGAGATTACGATGCTCGACATGCGTGAAAACGAAGGTGAAATAAATACCATATACCCGATGAAAACAAAGATACCCGAATTCTACTTGTAAAGTATAAGACGACAAGACGATAAGCGGTAACTTCCTAGATCGACGTTGTTATAGTATATCGTGAATATTACACACGACCGTGACGAGAACAGGTTCGAGCAAATTGGAGCACGTCCGTTGAACCGTCGACGAAATAATTACAGCTGATAAGCGTACATACTATTCATATACGTTTGCTCATTCCGATAAAGATGATCTCATCGATCGTATAATAGTATGTCAACGTAAAGAGTTTTCAATGTGTGAATAAACTTTCCCCACGCGATTTATTTTATACATGCCTCTCGATTGTAACGCCAATAATTAGACTCACGAAAAATCGTGCATTTTTCTGCCTGGCTGTCTGATATATGACGTAAATTATGTTCGATATTTTGTTAGTAACTAACAGGAACGAGAAGCGAGCGTTTTCGAATTTCACCCGCGATTTGATTTCGCTTCTGACTTAAATTAATTGTACTTTCATTAAGTTCGCTGCGATCTAGTGGCTCTTATCTACTCCGGATTATATCACTGTGTCCACTCTAGACGAAACTCCATCGGCGTCAACTCCTCGATCACGTATCACGTCGCTAATCTTATCGAAATTCGTTAATCTCCTCAAAAGCGTCAATATCGTAACAGTACCGGGTACTTACAATCAGAAATATACGGAAATGTACGCAATGTCGAAATTACCGGAGATTTTGAAGAATTGGATCCGAGAATAATAACGACTGTACATTTATACACAGCTCGATTTACGCCGAAATTATAACGTCGGTGTTACGAATCTGCCCAATCATAGCTATATTCTTCTGAAGAATAAAATAACTATATGAATGGTTAGTTTAATAATCGTGTAAACATAATCAAAACACTACTTTATCCACATCACAATATAAATAAAATAGAACAGCGATGGAATCCATTAATTTTGTCCATTTCTATTAATTGTACATTTCTACAGATTAACTTTAATCTCGGTTTAACTTATTCTTTATCTTTTTCTAATACTTCAAACTAGGAAAAGACAAGAAATAAGTTGAATCAAGATTAAAGTCAATCTACGTTAGTAGAAATAATCCGGTCTTGCGGCTTCAAGATTAAGAAGCAAATACATTTTATATTTCAACATGTCGCATTTTATTACGTTTACTTCTAAGATGGAGAACGACGTTAGCTTCAAGATATTAAATTATTTTAGTGTAGGAAAATATGACGGTTTTTAAATCGTCGAAACATATTCGATCCTGCTACGTCAAGAATGGAGAACGCACAATTGTCTGAAATGCTTCAGCGTTTCACGGTGATGTGTTCAAGACACGTAGGTACAGATCGCATTCGCTGCAAGACGCGCGTTGGTGATAACCTGATAGAAATCCAAAATGGATACCTCGTCGCTCGCACGCCGTCGCAACGCGTCGGAGGATAAAGAATGAAATCATCGGCCCGTGACATGCGCTGTCA